TGGGCGTCTCCTTGTAATTGATGACATGGTGCGCTCCCAACTTCTTGAGCTGCTCGCCCTTGGCCGCCGACGACGTCGTCGCGATGACCGTCGCACCCGCTGCGACGGCGAACTGGATCGCCGAAAGGCTCACGCCGCCGGTGCCCTGCGTCAGCACGTAGTCGCCCGGCTTAAGGGCCTTGGACTGCAGACCGTACAACGCGTTCCACGCCGTCAGCGGCGCGCACGGGAGCGTGGCGGCCTCGACGGACGAGAGCGTCTTGGGGGACTTCACGACGCCGTGCTCAGGGAACACGGCGTATTGGCGGAGCGTGCCGTCGAGGGCACCGCCGAGGCCGGATTTGACGGCGAGAGGGGTGATGGGGTTGGATTGGTGGTGCTGGTTGAAGAGGGTCGCAATGTTGTCGCCCTCCTTGACCTGCGTGACCTTGGGGCCAACGGAGACGACGCGGCCGGCGCCGTCAGAGGCCGGGACGCGGGGGAAGCTGACGGGGAATGGGTAGAGGCCCTAGGTGCAAAGGAGCGAGGTTAGCGGGAGTGGCGGGCCGGCGTGTCTCGGTCGACCGGAGGTAATTCGGGCACCGGGCACAAGGGTTATAAGCGAACTTACCTTTGGGATAGCCAGATCGCGGAAGTTTAGGGAGACGGCCTCGATCTGCACGAGGACGTCGTAGTCGCCCAGCTGTGGCAGAGGCACATCCTTCTTGAGCTCGAGGGTATCCCAGTTGCTGCTGTCCTTGCCGATGCCGGTGATGGACCAGGCGTTGGTTGATGTTGGTGCCATGATGAGTATTTGTGTATGGGTGATGATCAGTTATCGTCCGATTAACCTTTGAGATTCTTCAGCAGAACCATGTAGGATCTTGCTTCGCAAACCTGGCCTTTATGTATCGAACTCCCCAAAAAAAGATTTCAAAGCAATCGTGGGGTTTTCGAAGCTCCGAAGCTTCGAAGAGCGTCGACATGACGCAATGTCCACTTATACCGTCATATTGGGTCCGGCAATGCGACCTTCTTTTGCACTCGATTCCACTGACTCGAATGTCTTGAACCGTAGACACCCCAGCTTGGAGCTCTGAACCCCCCTGCCCGTGTCCATTGACTTTCCGCCGCTATTCCGCTTTTTGCCCCGGAGCCGCTCGGCATCGACGCCAATTGCCAGATGCAAGCCAGTATCCCGGGTGCAACTTAACCAGTTGGCAGTGGCATACGGCGGCCATTTGATCTGTCCCCCGATGGCCAACCCATCAAAATGGCATTCAGGGTGTCATGAGAACTCAACGATCGGACCATGGATGCGTTGGACGGCGTCGTGCTGTTATTCCCGCATCCACTGATTTAGAAGCCCGCAGCTCTCAATACCTGGGCTTGGCTGGGTCTGTGCCCACTTGTAGCCATTCTCCAGAAGATTTTGTTTCTTTTAGCTTACTAATTCGATGATAACTCATGAGGTTGTCACTAACAAAGTGGAACAGTGAGGGGAGAGTAAGCAGTAACGAGATGGTGAGGAACGAGACAGCAGGTTCGGTGAGTGCACAAACAACTTGCGAATAGCTTCACTTTTCTCACTAGTCATGCTTGTCAGACACCGTTTAGACCTAACAAAACACCCTTCCTTTTGATCCTCCGACAGGCGTTGTTAGGATGCATATTGACACGATGCATGGATTTTTGCCGCCTCCACCACCCTAAGCTTCGCCCCTCGCAAATGTCCACCTTAGCCGGATTCTGCCCAGTTGCTATCGAGCTGAACCATGCCGTACATGAGTGCATCTCCTAGGTGCTCCAACACACTATGGCGGGTCGAATGCGAGGAAACCTACTTACTCACTCGAGGCGGTCGGTCAACATCATCGAAATGAGCACAACCACGGTCCTTCCAGCGACACTCGTCTCCCCCACCCAAGCAATCCGATGAATAGATTTGTTTCCCGGCGTTATTCCCATGCAAAAAGTCTAGAACCCGCAGCTGACGCCGCTCCACAATCAAGCTGACAACAAATGAACCCCTCCAAGGCCTACCGTGGCACAATCCGACGTCTTCGGGTTCGCGGGCTGGAATTGAGACTGCTCCAGATGGCGAGGTTATTAAGTAGCTGGACGGGGGTCACATCAAAGTGTACAGATGCGGGTATTGCTCTCAACATGAAGCTGCGTCCACTCTAGTTAGTTTACTAGGCGATGTAAACCGCTGTTCCGCCTTTCGACGGGGGCCCAGTTCGTGTAATTATTTCCCGTCCGGGCCGGGGTATTGCAATCGACGGGCGGTTTCAGATTGACCAAGTGCAATATGGTCCGGTATTTACAACCGCTTGATGGTCTGCTTTCTCTGCTTAATTAGATGCCCCTGCGTTCTCCACGAAATCTCATCAAAACTTCTCGGCAAGGGGGAGGAGGCAAGACTCCGTTTCGCCATTCAGAATAGAGTATGTCTGTACTTGATAGAGAGTAGCAAGATATACTCCGTGCGGCCCAAATGTAATCCTATTCCGACATTCATTCCAACTCCTACTGCCATTCTTTTTCGCACCACTGGCGGGTTGCTTTACACGGTCTTTACAGCGTCTCAATCCCAGCAAATCCAACTAGCAACGATGCATTTCACTCGCTACCTGGCCCCGGCCGTCTTCGCGTCCGCCGCGGTCGCCGAAAAGACCTTCTGCGGTGCCCCCAACGACTATGAGGTCCTCATGGGCACTCCGTGGATCGTCTACTCGATGAACTACGCCTACCAGGCCATCAAGGGATCGGCTTGCACCGGCTACTACGGCACGTCCGGGTCCGGCGACGCGCAACGAATCCAATGGAGCAGCATCTGGGACATTGATCCCACGTACCAAAAGGACGTCGTCAAGGGATACTCCTTCATCGGCCTGACCCAGAACCTCGAGACCAAGCTCAGTGACATTCAGAGCATCCCCAGCACCTACAGCTGGACTGTCTCCAACTCTTCGGCCTACAAGGGTAAGTAGGGGTTCTACTTTGCATCACGTTCAACCTAGCGGTACTCGCCTGTACTAACCCAACCAACAAAGGCAACGTCGTCTACGACTTCATGACCTCCGACACCAAAGGCGACAGCACGTCCAGCAACGCCCAGGAGCTCATGCTCTGGCTCCGCTGGGAAGGCGGACAGGTGCCCATTGGCTGGGCCGAGGGCCCGACGGCCACGATCGACGGGCTCTTTGGCAAGGACGGGTGGAAGCTGTACCAGGGCAAGAACACCGATACCGGCATCACCGTGTCTTCGCTGCTTGCTCCCACCCAGTATGGCGACCTGGAGAAGGGCTCCTTCGAGGGAGACATCAAGGACTGGCTCCTCGCGCTCTCCAAGCAAGGCGTCTTCTCCGAGAGCACCTACGTCAATGTCGGAAATGCTGGCCAGGAGCCCTACTGGGGTACCGTCACGTTCAACAACACTCTTGGCTTGAACATCAACCTTTGAGGTAAAGGAAACGTAGTCAGGGTATCTGCGTGAGACAACTACCGGCTTCACTTCATGTACAAATTCATCTACATTGTTCATAAACGCTGATGGCCGTCTTGTATATGTTACTCAGACTGTTCATGACTTCAAGAAGATGGTGCCGCTCATGACCTTTGTGGCCGTTCCTCCAAGATGCAGCGTCTCCAGCCTTCGTGTACCATCCGTGCCCCGTCCAAGCTTTGCGTCAACGTAAATGTCGCTTCTACGACCCATCTCGACTCCCTGAGTGATCTCAAAGCTGAGGGAATCTTCAGAAAACTCGTGCAAACTCAGGTAGCTCGAGAGAGCGCAGGCTGCGCTACCAGTGGCAGGATCCTCCAGATCGGGCTCGATCAAACGGGTTCTGATCTTGTGCACAACACGTCCATCGATTGTCTCGGCCCCAAGGCGCACAAAGTAGTATCGCGAAATGAACGTCTTGCGCCACCCTTCGTCCAGAAGCTCCTGCTGCCGAAACTCCATGGGCCCAATCTTTGCCGACGCCAACGATGCCAACGAGGGCAACTCAACAAGAGCAAATGTCATGCCGTTCACGATGCTAAAGACGGGCGCTTCGACCTCTGCGTTGGCGAGTTCTGCCGTCGCATTGCTGTAGGGTCCGGGCCCAAGGTCCCTCAGCCGCTTCTGGTGAAGATGGGTGTTGTGCGGGATAGCGGCCCGTACGGACTCGGACCCCGTCTCTTCGATCTCAATGGGTCCGGCCTTTGCAATCAGCTTCTTGACGCCGCGGGACTTGAGAAAGATGGCTGTGCCGACGGTGGGGTGGCCCGCAAAGGGAAGTTCCGCGGTCGGCGTAAAGATATCGAAGCGGCGCTCCGTGGATGCGGGGTCGTCGACTTCGTGCACAAAGGTTGTCTCCGAGTAGTTGAACTCTCTGGCAATGGTTTGTTTCTGCTCCTGCGTCAGGGATGTCGAGGCCGGGATCGTGACAATGGCTAGAGGGTTGCCCTCAAAGGGCTTGTCCGTGAAGACGTCGACCGTGGTGTAAGGGAGCTCCATCGATGTGTCGTTCAAGGGCGGATCGCTAAGACGGTAGACGCAAATGAAGTATGCCAACAGGGCTTGAATGACAGATAGAACGGGGCCACGTTCATACGGGCTCTCTAAATAGTTAAGCTGGTGGGCGATATATGAGTCACTTGCTGGTTCTAACACCTGGTCGAGACGGAACTGTTTATTAAGCAACAATTGCGAATCGATCGGTAAACACTTATTCGGCGTAGCCCGCGCCTTTTGCGCCCTTCCCCGACAGACGTCCCCACTCCCCGGCCCCTCATCTTGACGATTCACGGAGTCCACATTCGCGCTTCAACAATGCTCCTAACACCTCCTCAAGTTCGAGTATGGCTATCTAATAATGGTGATCAGTCTGCGTTGGTACCATATACATCTAACAAGCCCTCATATACAAAATGTCGTATAAGAAACGACAAGTTCCCTCCATCATTCTCGCCATTCTCCGCGTCAGTTCAAGTTAAATTGTAGCATCAAGACAGGATCATAGTACTCAACCATGACGACCACACGCAGAAACGTGTACATCAATGACAGCACGGGGCCGATAAAGCCTGTATCCGATGCATCTCTCGCACAGGCATTCCACCAGCAGCTGCCCGCCTTCGCCAGAACCCCTCTCGTTTCTCTCGAGGATATCGCCCAGGAACTAGGCGTGAAAGCAGTCTACATAAAAGATGAGAGCAATAGGCTAGGACTCCCATCCTTCAAGATTTTGGGCGCATCATGGGGAACATACCGCGCCATCACGACTCATCTACAGTTGTCCATCGACACGCCCCTCGCCGACGTCGCAAAGGCCGCACAAACGAACAACCTTTCCCTCTACGCAGCTACGGAGGGAAATCACGGTAGAGCCGTTGCGGCCATGGCCAAGATTCTAGGCATCCCTGCGCACATCTACGTTCCCAGCAGTGTTGCCGGTGAGGCGGTCACCAACATCGCTTCTGAGGGCGCCAAAGTCATCGTGAGCAACTCCCACTATGACGACGCTGTCTTGGAAGCCTGGCAAGCATCAAAGTCAGTCAAGGGCGGTCTCTTGATTCAAGACAATGCTTTCGTAGGGTACGAGCAGATTCCTGCTTGGATTGTCGAGGGCTACTCCACCCTCGTTCGCGAGGCCGAGCAGCAGGTGGCCGACCACGGGCTGAAACCGACTTTGATGGTGACTCCAGTCGGCGTTGGATCTCTGGCGCATGCCGTCGTGTCTCACTGCAAGTCTGATGGACGAGATTGCGCAGTCCTATCAGTCGAACCCGATACCGCTCCGTGTCTATGGACGAGCCTGACGGCCGGTAAACCAGTGACGGTTCATACCTCGAGAACCATCATGGAAGGGCTCAACTGCGGCACTGTCTCTCTGACGGCGTTCGATGATCTTCGTGCAGGCATTGATGCCAGTGCTACAGTCTCGGACTTCGAAGCCCATGAGGCCGTGAAGTATCTCCAGACGAAGGGGGTGGACAGCGGGCCGTGTGGAGGTGCCACTGTCGCAGCGCTCCGGCGGCTTGCCGGAGTAAGCCCACGCCCAACCTGTCTTTCCAAAGACGCTGTCGTGGTATTACTCAATACAGAGGGTCCACGGAACTACAAGATCCCGTTGGACGTGTCCACGGATGACCCGGTCACGTTGACGCAGATCCTCACGTCAATCGACTCTTCCAACCCAGACTTATCCAAGGCTTCAGGTGCCGGCGAATGCGAGATTGCGCACTACATTTCCGCGTGGTTGCAACATCGCAACTTTGAAGCGCACTGGCTGGAAGAGAGGCAAGGCCGACCTTCCGTGGTCGGTGTACTCCGCGGAACAGGAGGAGGAAAGTCCATCATGCTCAATGGGCATGTTGACACCGTCAGTCTTTCGAGTTACTCGCCAGACCTGGATCCTCTAAGTGGAGAACTGAAGGAGGAGGACGGAGGACGAATCTATGGTCGTGGAAGCGCGGACATGAAAGCTGGCTTAGCAGCTGCCATGGCGTCAATGGCTCGATGCAGCTCTACATCACACTCTCCTCTACGGGGGGATGTCATTCTCGCCGCAGTCGCGGACGAGGAGAACTTCTCCATAGGCACGGAAGAGGTCATCAGGGCTGGATGGAGGGCCGATGCTGCCATCATACCGGAACCTACCAACCAGGAGATGGCGATCGCTCATAAGGGATTCATTTGGGTTGAAATCGACATCCTCGGCGTTGCGGCTCATGGATCTAGGCCCGAGGATGGTGTAGATGCCATCTTGCTCGCAGGCGCCGTGCAGACGGCACTCCTTGAGTACTCAAAGTCACTTCCCTCCGATTCTCGACTGGGGAAGGCATCTTTGCATGCCGGCCTCATTCAGGGTGGCGAAGAGCCTTCCAGCTATCCGGAACGCTGCACTCTGACCGTTGAGTTCCGAACCATTCCGGCACAGACTACAGAGAGGATCCTCGAAGACATTGAGAGCATCTTGAGCAGTATCGCCAAGTCCAATCCGGATTTCAAATATGCTGCTCCTCGAAAGACCTTCTCGCGGCCTCCCCTTGGGCAGAGCCCTGACGATGAGTTCATCAAGACCTTCGTCTCTGCTACCTCGAAGTGTCTAGGTGAGGCGCAAGAGCCTGTTGCATGTTCTTTTTGGTGCGACGCTGCATTGTTGAACGAGGTCGGTATCTCATCGGTTGTCTATGGTCCCAAAAGCTTTGGGATCCATGGCAAGGAGGAATGGGTGAGCGTGGAGAGCATCCGGGAAGTGGCATCGGTGATGGAGACCGTGATTCAGGAATTTTGCGCTTAGACATCGACCCTGGATCATAGATACTTAGTAGGCTAAATGTCGACAAAAGAAGGCGAAATGAATACAACTGCATGTGCTACCCGAGTCTATTGCTCAATGGCTATTGCATATCTCGATCAACAAGCTTTTCCCTGTCACCTCAGGGCTCTCGCTAACTCAATTCCCTCGTAGCTTTCAGAGTTCCTCAACGTGTGCTTATGTGTTCCCTGCGTAATCTCGTCCATTGCATTGTATCCAATCTCAGTCTCGTGAGCTCTCATGGCGGAGTTGGTGGCCGTCGATGGACCCATGGCGAGCAGAACATTCCGGTTCGTCTCTTCTTCTATCTTCCTTCCCTCCTCTAGAGTATTCATGCCAATTTCTGTTGGAAAGGCACTCTGTCCATCCGACTTCAAGTATCCATTTCTCTCGTCCGATCTCGACGTTGCGTACATCTCCGTAAAAAGGACTCGCAGAACGGGGATAGATGACGCAACGATTGTGACGTTGATCTCGGCTTGTCCCCATATAAAGAGCAGAGATAGACGATCTGTAAAATGATTAGATAGATCCACGTGGGTACCGGGAAACCATTCCGATGCTCACATGGTATATCTGCGCCCTCGGCAATAGTCACGATTTTGATGACCTTGATCACCCCGACTAACCCTGCAATGACACCGAGGCTCATAGCTACAGCAACGCCAATCTTTTCATGGCGCTTCAAGCCTAGTCTCCATATCATTGGCCATGGAAGCAGCGACAAGATGAAGTCAACCAGTGCCGAGTATGCTGAAATCATGTGTCAACTTGCTATTTGCAAATATTCAGCTCAATTCATCTGTTACTCACCATTCGACACCATGTGCATAATGACCGAATCCTCCACTCGCCAACAGGATCCGGGTAGGACAGCTTCATAAGAATCTGACGGCCTGTCGCAGGCCGCCTTCCAAGCGACAACAGCGCTGGTTGCCAAGACTGCGTTCATGGATATGATCAGAAACCAAATGAAAACCTTCAGTTTTCCAGACGCAATGCGCAACATTGTGACTGCAAAGGACGTTTTGCTAAGGGCCAAGGCGACCTTATTCATGACGACGTTGACAGACGACAGAGTGAAAATGTGGGCTGAGAAATCTAGGGACTTTCCAAACCCGAGTCTCATAAGCTCTGTGGTGAGAGACGTCGAGACTAGCAGGAATATCTCCAGAGATGGATCGTCAGCAATGAAAGCTCCTCCAACGGTCCAACAAGTCTCTTACCCAAGACGCCACCAAGAGATAGTCATCTGTCCATAAGCCACGGGATCTGATCTTTTTGCAGTAAACACGACAGAACAGAAAGACTGTCGATACCGAAATCATAGCCCATATCGAAGCGACGACCCTAGGCGCCGGGTCTTTTGAAACGTCAATCACGAATGGCGCCGTAGAAGAGGCATTTCGCCCGGAAAGGCCTGCTTGACTCTTCGAGCTCATTGTGCGGAGATACGTGAGGACGCTGGAGAAAACAAAAATGGCAGACCGGAAACTTTTCACGCCAGTGATTTTCACTGTTGGGGCACATCTTAGATTAAAAAGGCAGATTTTCCGCTTCCGATGAAGATGTCAAGTCTTTTTGGGAAAAAGAAACATATTCGCTTCCACTACCCCATCACACGTCAGGGTCGAAGCTCAAACATAAAGAATACAGAAGACGCCATCCGGCAACATGTTCTGAGGCAACCGAGCGAACTCTTGGATCATGTTCGCGTAGGGGGCCAGGCCTCGGTGAATCAATGCAAGGATGCCATTCACATCAAAAAAAGAAATACCCTCCCAAAATCTGGGATAGTAATCCTCGGTCGCCCCGCACGATGTGAGTAATCATTGGCCACCACAATTATTTGAGTGACCAAGCCTCCCGACGGGGACTAGTCGATACTAGGGAAGCTGCGTGCATCACAAGCTTGACATCGAGTGTTTGATGCCATCTCGTCTCGGACTTCGGAGTGAAACAAGGTCTCGAGAAAACTAGAAGAAAATGACAGCAATTCCATGAAAGACAGACTTTGCTGACACGCTGGGCACGCTAATCATAAATCATAATACGCTTGGGCAGATTTTTGACTGAGCTGACAAGGTTTTCACCACGCAGTTCAGCTTAGAGGCTGTCATTGATTCCTGATGTGTCAGATCGTTGATTGGTGATGAGATTCTCGGCGAGACCACGATTTCGTAGAGATCCCGTAAGATCATCTGTCGTTGTTGCCTTGCACTTATTAGCGTGATGAAGACGTCTTTTGGAGGGTTGCATGTCGCACCATTGAATCCTTAAGCATCTTTGGCAATGCACTGAGGCGATGCAAGATCGCCCCAATGGTTCACAAATCATTGGGATAATCAGCTTCCGTACGTCTATACTAGGTAAGATCTTAGACTCCCGTCGCATCTCATTACATGGTCCCCGGATGCTCCGTCCCGGCAGATTGGTCTAGAATCTCTCTCTCCGCTGATGCCTTGCATCATGCTAGGTGCATTGCTAGTCTCAAGCTAGTCTTTTCTGGCCCTTCAGCTTTGAGAGGCTATTCGCTGGCTTTTCTGGAAGTTTTTGCAGGACTCAAAAAAGGAACTCCTCGAGAATTGACCAACCACTCTACTCAGTGACCCTTGCAAGTGGCGGCTGGAGTTAGACACACCACGCACGTTGGGCCGTTAAAAGTACACTAGAGAAACGTTGATAACCAATTTGCCCAGTTGCTCGTCAATTATCACAATGTTCTCTCTCCGTCATAGCAAACTTTCCCACGTGATAGGTTGCGCACGAATTGTCATTGAATGGATGTGAATGATTAATAACGTGCCAATTGTCCTTTTGCCAGTAGCAAGTTTCTGTTCAGAGGCTTCCTCAAACACTATGCTCTCCGGTTAAACTGAGGGGCAAGCGAGGTTGACCGGGTTTTCTTCGAGTAGCGTGACTTCCTTGCATAGTACTATGAAAGATCACGCAGAAATGCATGAAAGCTAGCCTTGAAGTCTGGCGTTTCGAGATCACACACAGCTTCTTCAAGAAAGGCCATTCCATATGTTCAGGTCTTTCATCCGAAGGTGCGGAGCCGAAAAACTTCCATTGAACTCTCGGCCCCACTACGGGACCGAGTGGAGAGCTTATCGATAAGCTCGGCGGACCCGAAGCTGGCGGTAATCGTCGGCAGAATATTTGCTGTCCGAATTGCGACACTTGGGTTTCTCTTGAAGCCCCCAAATGCACGTTTCGCACCACGGATTTCCGTTATCATACCCAAATGCTGCTTTGCTTGCGTCGCACGTGGGCGCGGCGTCCTCCCTTACAATGCCTAGCGCAGACACCCGGTAGACGTACTGCCGCAACGAAAGCCACGATCGCCCAGACCGTTCTGAAGGAGACAACCCCGACAGCGTCAAGGCTGGCTGAAACGGGACTTTGGTCGATGCCATCACGTTCCAAGAAGGCGGGAAAGGACAGTACTGATGCAAAGAAAGCCAAGCCGAAGAAAAAGGCAAAGGGCGACAAGTCGCGTGTCAATATCGTGGACGAGAAGCTATGCGGTGCGTCTGTAATGCCCGTACTCAGTCGCATTACCGACCAAGATGCTAATTGGGATCGCCACCAGATGATATCCTCAAATACATAGGTCCTACACTCGAAAGACATGTTGGCTGCGACTTGGTCGACATCAACCCGGGCGCCGGCGTCTGGAGTCGCAAGCTCTCAGAGGTCCTCCAGCCGCGCACCCACATCCTCATGGAACCCGACGAGGATGTTTATCGACCCTTCCTTGAGCCGCTACTCGAAAACCCAAATACACAACTGATACCTCAGTCCGGAATCCTCTGGAACGAGTTGAACGAGGTGCTCGGCCACATTCAGAATCAGGTCCCTCAGCCAAGGGGCCCTGGCATCGAGCCTACGCGTAACGACACCCTCCTCGTGACGGCGAACCTCTCCTTCTTCCCCAAGAAACGGTATCGCAACTTCGATAGCGTCGCCGCGATGGTGCTCTTTCAGCTCATCAGCAGCATCCGCACCGGCACACTTTTCCAAAAATATGGCCTCGTGCGCATGCTGGTGTGGGCCAACAACGACGATCAGCGCTCGTTCCTGGCAAGGAACATTCAAGGGCGGCGCAAGTCGGCGATTGAGGCCGAGTTCGCGTGCGAGTGGCTCGGCGTAGTGGCCGGCACGGAGGCGCATTCGAATTCGGACTCTAAGAGAGACGTCTGGCACGTTCGCGATCGATGGATTGATATCGACAGCACAAGGGACGCACTGGAAAGGATGAAAAAGAATGGGCTGGAGATGCCAGAGGGACGGAAGTTGGAGTCTACAACGCAGGCCGAACGAGGAGCTATCGGCCCTGGGCGCCACGCAGGCGTGCAAACGCCGCATCTCAGCCGGCCCTACGTGGCGGAGCTGAAGGAACTCGAAGACGAGTTGGCGGCCGGCACAATGGACACGTCGAATACATCAAAGTCTTTCAAGCGCCTGAAATTCCTGCGGCACACACTAAAAACACAAGAGGAAGACGCCGAGAGCAATACGGCTCTATTAGCGGAGATGTACGAGCTCAGCCGACTGCGTGCGACCAAAGCCATCCCGGACGCGGAGCTGAGAGAGCGCGAACAGGCGTGGGAGGCCAAGGTCTCGTCAATGGGGAAGAACTTCCTCATCGACTTCCGCGTCATCCGGGACAACTTGCACATCTTTCGGCAAGACCCGCCGGTGATGCTTTGGGACAGGCGACCCTACGAGCCGCTCGCCGTCAGCCCCAACGAATTCTTCCCCAACGTCGAGTGTTGTCTGTTAGATATCCAGCCCAAAGCGATGTATCCGCTCCTCCGGCAGTCCGGGCCGGGCACCTCGCGAGCGGGCGACATGTTTGAGCTGTTCCGGAGTTCTATGCTGGCACAGGGCCTGGAGCCCGTCAGCAAGTCTTTGGAGCGCATCTGGCCCGGGGCGGCGGAGGGCATCTTGCCGCACTGCCCCAGCCTGCGGGACCC